GCTAACTTAGGAGAAGGATTCGGCTTCGGCAGTTTCTTATCGGCGATTTTCTGGCCACCCATCGTCGGCTTGTTATTGTTATTGTTGCTGTTTTTGTTTGTTCCACCATCGTTGTTGCTCGAAACCAAACGAGATTTTTGGTCATGAGAAGAGGAAGAAGCAGCAGCGGTGGGAGTGGAGGACGCCGGAGGCTTGTTCGTAGTTGACTTTGCTTGGCTGCCTCCGACCATCATCAATGGCCGTGAAAGAGGTTTCGGATCTTTCGTGAATCTGATTCTACCTTGAGCAATTCGCTGAGAATGTAATCTGATCTCTGTGTGGAAGAATCGTGAAGCACAAAAGGGTTTCAAAGATTTAATTAGGGTTGGGTTTCTGGGGATTTGTGAAACGTGAGATTGATTGATTGATTGGCTCAAATCATCAAGCTGACAAAACAGAAAACATTCTTTGGAGTTACGAAAACGCAGCGTTTAGGAAACATTTGGATATTATTTTGACCTTTTTTTCTAGCAAATACAAATAACACAGTCCCTTCAGGTTGCAGTAAGTTTCTGAGTTGATACAGCAATGGTAAGCGATTTTCAAATGCAGAGATATTCATCAACAGATAAGTATAAAGATGCACCCATCATCTTCCCAAGAGTGTGATCTTTACTCTATTTCACTTTATGTTCTTCGCGCTTCTGTAAACGAACAAAGTCAAGATCCAACAGGTTTGACATTCGGCAACACAAGAAAAACTGATCCTCGCTCATGAACTTAATGATAAAGAGTGAATCTGGGAGCTTTCTTGTGATTTCTTAGCTCCGTGATAAGACTCCTTTCGAACTGCAAATGCCGTAAAACAATCACGCATCAAATGTGTTTTCTAATGATATACATTCATCGCAACCAAACAATAATCTCTCATCAAGACAACAAAGATGCATCCTCAGGATCCCCAAAGTGTCTATGCTTTTAAACTGAAATACATACGAATGTGTAATATGTCATAAAAGATTTTCTTTCGGATTCTTTATGATAGTGATCCTTGCTTAGTGTGTGTGGATGATAAGTCTAACCTTGGTATCGTCCCACCACGGCGAGCATCATTCTCCGTTGCTTGTCGGAGAGCCCTGGCAAAGGCCTTAAAGGTCGCCTCTATTATGTGATGAGAGTTTTCACCAGCAAGCTGTTCTAACAAACGAATATCAAAACCGGCAACAAAAGTTTGCCAAATACAAGAAATTGCTTGATTTTGTTTGCTTTAGGAAGATTGGATTTACAGTACCTGCCGGATGTGAAGTGTCATACCAGAAGTATTCACCAATGACTGGAAAAAGTGCTCAACCAACTACAACCGCAAGGTGTTGGCAAGACATTCAATGATTAGAACACAAATAAAACAAAATAGAGGAAGCTTGAGAAGTGAAGAACCTGAGTGTCATATGTTCCAACTCTCTGGGTTGGAATCTCCAAGTTGTAGCCAAGATATGGTCGACCAGACAAGTCCTGCAAAAAGGTTTTTGTTCACTATACGCAGTAAGCAAGCCTGCTGAAACTCCAGTAACGAGGAGAATAAACACAGATGCAACCGAAATTTTCACAATTTTATACCAGGGAAACATGTATAAGCGCTTCATCTAGAGGAGCTGTGAAGTCACCAAACCGATTAATCCCTTTACGCTCACCAAGGGCCTTTAACAGAGCCTAAAGAAGAAACAAATACCAAAAGTTTTCATTACAGCACAACTTCCCAAGGAGAAAACAGCACACCATTGCTCATAGGTCTAATAAGAGCCGAGAATACGGCGGAAAGAGCGCTAAACAGGGATAAGAAGATCACAAAACAAAAGACAGTAAGTAAACACTTACAGTTCCAATGGCAAGAGCCATATCTTCATTAGTGTGATGATCATCTATGTGAACATCACCAGTAGCTCTTACATGCACATCAAACAAGCCATGTGAAGCAAGTTGCTAACCAAGACAGACAAAGAGTGAAACATAAACATTAAGCAAACATTCTAGTATTGAATTCACACAACTTGCTGAAATTGAACAACTCAAAATCTAAGAAAATCAAAGGGAAAAAGGCAAAGACTTTACATCTAACATATGGTCAAGGAAAGGAATTCCAGTAGAACTATCTGCAATTCCAGTGCCATCCAAATTTATCTTCACTGATACATTCGTCTCCTTTGTTACTCTCTTCACTTCTCCAATTCTACCTGATCGCATCACCCAAACCAAACAACAACAAAAAAAAGACGTTTTTGGGTGAGAACAAAAATCGATGACAAATGAGATTCCATCTCAAGCCATATCTAGTCCCCGAAACTGACCTAATTCGATAGAGGAACAAGAATCCTCCTGAGCAACGCAGGAGATAGATTTGGGATGCTGAGATTGCGATTCCATCCGCAAAAATCGAGGAATC